CAGGCTACTGTATGCGATCTTGTCCGTCTGGGGTTCATACCGCAAGAAATTGCGGACGATAAAAAGAAGCTAGGCATTGTCGCTCCGATATTGGGCTCGGTATTGGAGCAGTTGAGCAACGGTGGAGGCGCCAAGGCGGTGAATGTAGACGAGATCGGCGATCAGGTCGAGTCCCTCGCTGAGCAGTACCCGCTGACTATTCCCCCCTGGTACGTCTTTTTCAGAGGTCTGCTTCAACACTTATGGTCGCTCGTATGTCCCTGACTGGGCAAACAAATGAATCCATCGCGCATGAAGTCAAAATGTCTCTCCAGACGGAAGAGAGGTGCTTTTACAGTCATACGAGTCTGGGTTGATTAACTCATGCGGCACGATGCTGTCTCCCTCTAATCTCTCTCTACATCCTTTAGGTTTGGACTGATTGTGCGCGCATTTAGCGCCATAGAAGGTTTGGGGCTGGGCCTTTCTCCCACTTACTCCATCGTCAACCAATGCTTTCCTTTCCTGGCTAGACGCCTTCTGACGGACGACTCACCTCGTATCCGTGCCGCCCTAAAATCGTTTTTGTACGGGAACGACAAGCAGCTGAAAGTAGAGCGTGTCAACGACATGATAGAGGGATACCGAAACTTTACAAATTCGTTCGACGATATGGCCGTGACGGTGGGGGGGTCCCCGATTGTGTCCTCGTCCACTGCCCCCTCTTTCGCCGCTACCTCCTTGCCCAGTCGTGAGCGGCTCATGGCTCTCGGCAGCAGCGGCAGTGGAAAAGGAGGGAAAGGGTACTTGGATTTCGATAAGCCCACCATGGAGGTTCTTCAAATCCTTTTTCATAAGGATGGCAATTTTGTCCAAGAGCTGGTCACAGACGAGTTGGTCCGGATGGCGGACGCTGTTATCAAGGAAGTGACTGGCTTGGCGGCTCGTCGTGCTAAGACGACACCCTTAGCCCTTTCCAGCAATCTTCGCCGTCTTCCTGGGCCACTGGGAAATCTTGCGCTTGTCCCTTTTATTCCCATTATCTCCTTGTTAGGCCTTTTCACAGCGCTAGCAGAGCGGGCTGAAACGCTCTCGCAATTAACAGAAGAGGACAGAGAAAGTCTGAAGACACTGCGCTTACTTTTGGGTGCTGTGAGCGTACAAGCACCCCTAGACGAGACAAGGAGTGGCAATGGCATGAATAGAAGCCCATTTCCCTTCCCCTTCCCTCCTCCGCCACCGTTCCTGTTCCCCTTTCCCGGTCGCGGCAGTGGCAGCAACAACAATTTTCCATTCTCTTTCCCGCCTCCGTTACCACCATTCGGCCCTTCCGCTAACAGCATCGCATTTATCGAAACAGCTCTGGGTGTGTCGCGTCAGGTCCTCCCCGAAATCGCGCCTGGCGTGGCTGCTATAGGTCGTCGATTCTTGGCCCAGTTAACTGGTCGGGTATTGAACAGACTCGCAGATGAGTTGGAGGGACAAGGAAATAGACTGTAGACATGCAGCTGCAATAAAGAAGCATTGCGTGTACGTGGAAGTTGAAGAATAATAGGAATGTAAGCTTTTCAGGAGCGATACCGCATGTATGATACGGAGAAGCACACGATAAGGCGAAAAATCATGTGAAAGGATTTTTGTGTGAAAGGACCAGTTAAAATTCTCATAACATGAATGTTTTGTTTCTAATTGACAAGTCTCAGGCGCTGGATAATTCGTTCCAATCAAGCCAGGGATATCTTTAATCTGTAAGTATTTCTTTCAAGCAGTTGCGATTCTCAACTCTACATCAGCAGGCGGAAGTAACCCTATAGAACGCAGATTCTTTACAATATTGAATAAAGCATCTTCTGCTATGCGACGGTAACACGGCCACAAAGTGCTCCGATTAAAGGCATTTGTCGCAAATGAAGACATTTGAGAAAGCTTTGTCCACAGTTCACTAAGCAGAAGCTGCGCCAAACGGGAACATTCGACGAGCACATCAACTAAGAATCCTATAATGTGCGCAATCACTGACAAGATACTAGCTAAACAGAGGATGAGAGTAGGGAGCAGGTCTGCAGAGTAGTAGAGCGGCAAGAATACCACGGCAGTAAGGAAAGCTACATGTGCAGATTGCAATAGTTGTTTGCCTCGGCCGGTCAATAACAAGCAGGCTGGCGGTGCAGCCATAAGGCCGTAAAATAATTTTGTCATTCCCCCCAAAAAATACCACATGCCATATCCATAAGGAGCATCGGTGTCATGAGAAGGTGATCCAACTAAGCCGTGCACGCCTGCAAGGATCAGCATACCAGTCGTGATATTTCCGAGTAGGCGAGACGTGATGTCGTCCTCCGGCGCGTATCCCGGGCCATCTAGCAAACGACGGAGCCATCGACTAATCCATGATTGATCGTTTGTGTGATTACGAGTACTGAACAGTCCTATAGAGGCGTTCATGTCCAGGGACGGGACCTGGCCTCCGTTCAAGACTTTCTTGACTTCCTCGACTTGTATGCCGACATCGGCTAGATCCTGGGAAACGGGGCCACGCGACTCCAGCACTTTGCTGACAAAGGCTGGGGACTCTTGCTGTGAAATCCATTTCAGGTATTCTGTCACCCCCACTAACCGACGTTTTCGTTGAATGTCGTTAAATCTTTCCAAAGTGCCAAACACGCCATAGTGCACGTCTCGACAGTGATTATGGGCGTCATCTCCGCAGTCCTCAATACAAGCCGCACAAAATCCACACCCACACCTCGGACACGTCAAAGCAAAACAACCATCGAAATCTAGGAACGCCCGACGGCAACCTTTCCGCGGGCACTTCAAGGTCAGAATTTCCTCCGCGATGTGTTGCCGACAAGTGCTCATTTTCAAATCGAAAGGTTGAGATCTGGATTCCTCCCACAGAGAAGGAGCTGCTGGTGGTTCACTCTTTGGCAAGTGAGATCGCTGTCTACGGCCCACACTTCCACGATAGGGAGAAAGTGGCGCTTCCCCAGAAACAGCCCTCTCTTCCGAAAGGACAGTGGTCAACAAGCCTTCGAGGCGCTGCACATATTTTCGTTGGGTGCCTGGGTCGAGAAGATTCACGAGATCATCATAACTCCAAGGTTCTGCAGAACAAGTTTGGTTAGTGATTGCGTCTATGGCCGGGCAGGTCACACAGCCTCCGCTCCGGCGAATGGTGACAGGCTCCAAGTTGCAGATAAAGCCCTAAAAACATTAAAAAATTAACATCAGCGTTGCTCAATTTTGCCTATTCTATGCTGAGCGTTGACGTGTGCACGCAGTTTTGACATGAAGAAAAAACGATACCATTTCATACGATATCTCTTCGCATTTGCATCTGTTTCCGGAGACCCCTCGATTTTATTACCTGAAGGCATCCACGGCATACGAAGTGATTCTGCGAGCATATTACGCCGTCACGTTCTAGATCAAAACAAATGACACATGGATTGCCTGCGGGACTGAGAACAATAGGTACTGGCGAACGGGGCGTGGTCTTGGACGGACTTTGTATCGCAGTTTGTGAATCACGTACAGGCGGTACGGTAGTCGATGCGTTTGTGGCAAATGCAATGGGAGAAATGAGAGGTCGGACCATCTTATTTCGGCGTACACTCGATCTTGCTATGACTTTAATGCCTCTGTGTTGCACCACAGCAATCGAAGGAAAGCGACGTGGGGTCCCTCGGGGAGCTGCTGTGCGTTCCTGTGTTTACGATTGGAATGTGTGCGGGTTACGTTACTGGCGTGGAAAAATAGTCACAAATCCAGGGAGAAAAGAAAGAGCTTACATTTGTCCATTTTCAAACAGCGCCGATATGTAGACGACATGGGGGCGAATTGTCCAGAGCCTAAGAACGTGCCCGGACGGGCTCCCAGGTCCAAGCCCGTGGAAGAAAAGAAACGTTCGGCCAGCCGTTAAGAAACGGATGAAGCGTGGAAATGACAGACCTCCGTGGGAGGAGAGCCCCTTTCTACACATGGCTGCTTTCCATGAATGCTCACCTATTCCTAATTATCACTATTTCTTACAGGATACGATTGCATGTGCACAGTCACGCGGGGATCGGTGCGTGATCAACGAACAAAATCCTCGAGATAGTGCATACATCAAACCGAAGCTACGAACAAGGCATATCAGCTACATTTGGCATGAGGGGTGTGTACCTCGAGGCAAGCGAAGCGCAAGGTAGTGCATCCCATCTTCTACCAACAATTTCTGAGAGCTTTTCACCGGCAGTATTGCATGAGCAGGATGAACCATCCTATGGCGTCTATCGGTTCAAGGTATGTTTCAAGGAAGAAGACGAATGAGCCGGGGTTGGTGATGGATAAGTTGCGTTAAATTTTTACTATTATAGTCCATGGAAGGATGTTTGACGACATCATGACAACTTAATCATTCTCTTATGGACAGCCTAATGGCGACTTTCGCAGCTTGCTTGTTCACACGGCGCCAGACTGTATGAGCTCCATTGCGGCAGTCCTTCGCAGACCCGTCTTGTTCACGGTGCGGCAGATTGCAACAGATGATCCTGGACCAGAAGTGGTCATGGAAGAAGGAAGTGATCCCGTGGATCCACAAGACCAGATTCATAATCTCAGTGGTCAAGACCATTACCAGCGCGTTCACGGAGTATGGTGGCGGGTGGAATGGCATAATAAGGAGGGTTGGATGCAAGGACAGGATTCCTTAACAGGTCAACCATGGCCGTGTCTGCACTCTGTTACGTCGTATCGTCTTTTTGAGGCTTGGCGAGGAGCTCACACCTTTTGGTGTCGAGGTCGGGTCATGCTGGGTCCAGATTCGAAGGCATTCTTATGCAGTAACGTCCTTATTTTACTTCCCGCGCTTACTTTCCTTATCTGGATCGCACCTTCCCTCCCCACTCTAATCGCTAGACTTGTGGTGGAAATTCTTGCTGGATGCCTCATTATGAGCTCCATGTATTTCCTCTGGCGAACTGCCTTGTCGGATCCCGGGATCATCCCCGCGCTCCCAGCACACGTCCGGCCGGCGCCACCCACCAGTCCGATGCACGATGTTGCTCCTCTTCCTTGTCCTGTAAAGGTATCGACGATGACGAGAGACCTGAGAGAAGGGCAAGAAAGAGATTTGAGAAGCAGAGAGGGGCAGCTCCACGGTTGGCGGTACTGCGAGACCTGCAACGTGTACAGGCCCCCGCGGGCGAAACATTGCCGCTCTTGCAACTGCTGCGTCGAGCGGATGGACCATCATTGCATCTGGGTGGGCACCTGCGTCGCCAAGAGAAATTATCGAAGCTTCGTTCTCTTCGTCCTGACCACCACCGTTCTCAGCGTCTTCGTCTTCGCCACATGCCTAGCTGTCGTCGTTCGTCATTTGTTGCACTCCCCGGAGCCAGTGCAGGCACTCTGGATGGTTGCCGGGCAGTTTCCCGCCGCTGCCGGGGTGGGAGTCTTCACCTTCGTCATGTCGTGGTCCCTGGCCTCCCTTTGCTCTTATCACATTTACCTCATTGCCACCGCACAAACAACGAACGAGGCGCTTCGACGCCCCTCGCGTGGGAGGGAAAACGAGTTCAATCAAGGCTTTTGGCAGAATTGTGTGAATGTGTGGACCGAGGACGTAGGAGGATCGCGCTTGCCAGCCACTTTCCATAGGAAAGTGTGCGTCGAAGCCTGGCACAAGCGTACGGCTCGCCCGGGGGGGAAGTGCCCGGAGTCATGCAATGAGACGAAGGAAAGAGAGGGAAGCGGGGAGGAAGGGAGGCAAGATCTACAAGGACAAAACGACGAAGGCTTTTCTGGCGACGGAGACAGGTGCCATCTCATGTCAACAGAAGATATGGGCCATTAGGGTCGAGCGAACGGTGAATCCTATGTGAAAAATCAATGTAATATACTCTATAAACGTTCCTGTGACATCCGCTTGGGCTAAAGACTGGTATATTGCTTTCAAAGGCAAAAATCACAGCCTTTTGACCTTTTTTGTTCCCAGCCCAAGGCGATATTGCTGACTGCACATCTCTGTACAGGATTCCTCTTTACATCAAGATTTCAACTCACACATAACGGATAGATATATTCGACGGTTCAAATCATTCCCGGAACTCCTCAGTACGGATGCTTTTTCTTCCATGGATCGAACAAAAAACCCACGATGAGGCGGGAAAGAGCCTCATACAGGTCATACGTTAAACCTCTCCTTCACCTAGATCGACTGATTCGACCTTGCTTTCTTCTCCCATCGGAGCGGTTGTAGCCTTCTCTTCCATCCTGCCCACTCCGTACCTGGCAAGCGGAGGCGGTGCCAGTAGATGGTGCTTGGCCGATGTCGCCGTCGTCCCGCTGGCGTCCGAGAGGCCGATGGACGCGACTCCGTCTTGCTGCTTCTCCACGGGCAGGAGCTGTTCGATGAAGGTTTGAGTGACGCTACTTCTTGTCCCCAGGGTCTTGGCGGGCCTCGCTGGCGTATTCTGCGGCTGTGCGAGTTGCTGCTGTCCTCCGTGCTGGGTGTTAGGCCCCTGGAGGACATGGCGGTGAAACCAGGACAAGAGCCCCTCGGTCCCGACCATGCCACTGCCCCATCGACTGGTGGAGGCAAAGGACTGAAACTGGGCTCCGATCATCTCCAAGGCCAGCCCCTTGGTCTCCGGTAAGAGCATGTACACAAACAACCAGGCCGCCATCGCCACCCCCAGGAACAAGCCGAAGGTCGCGCTGGTCCCGATCGACTCCCGCACCGGGTCGAAGGCGAAGGTCACCAGCAAATTGGAGCCAAAGTTTGCCATCACCGCCAGACCCACGGTCTCTCCTCGCACCTCGGTGGGGTATATCTCCGAGACCAAGATCCAGCTCACGGGCCCGAAGCCCACCTGATAGCCGGCGATATACAGGAACATGGCTGCAATCAGCACGCCGTCCAGAGCCTGCCCTTTGGCGCCCGGTTCCTTCTCCACGGCGAACATGGCCGACAGAAGGGCGAGGGCAAGGACCATGACCCCGATCCCCAGCAGGAGCAGCGTGCGGCGCCCGCGTCGGTCAACGGTGAGTACGGCCCCCATGGTGGCGACCAGCTTGAAGACGCCCACCAAGAGGGTGGCCGAGTCGGCCAGGCCGAAATCTCGCAGAATCTCGTTGCTGAAGTACAAGACGGAGGGCTGCCCGCTGACCTGTTGGAAGGTGACCACGCCGAGCCCGACTATCAACGGTCGGCGATAGCGGCTGTTTCGAAGCACTTGTAGGATCGTCGTCTTCTTCCTCTTCTTCCCTTTCCACGCGTCTTTCATGCCCTCCCCGCCGTCAAGGACAAGGCTGTGGTGTGTGCTCTTCGCGCCCTCGCTCTTGTCCCCGCCACTGCCCCGCATGCCCCTCCCATCCCCAAGGACCCCGGCATCCCCATCCATCCCGTCGCCGCCCGCCGCGTCCGCCTCCGTCCACTCCTCCTCGTCCTGCATGCTTGCCTTGATCTCCTCCATTGCCAGACCGACACCCCCCTTCATAAAAAATCGCAAGCTGTCTTCCGCCTCCTCCAGTCTTCCCTGAAGCGCCAACCACCTCGCCGACGAGGGCAGTCGGGACATGCCCAGCCCCATCGCCGCACCCAAGGGGACGGACATGAAAAAGGGCCAGCGCCATCCCCCCTCCATGTCTTTGAAGATAAAACCCGCCACCTGGGAGAGCAGGATGCCGAGCACAATCATGCCCTCCTTTAGCGCCACCATGAAGCCTCGGATCCCCGGGGGGCTCATCTCCGCCAGATAGGCAGGGGCTGCGTGCATTGCAAAGGCGATCCCTCCACCATATATCCATCGTCCCAGTAGGCATACCACCAGCCCGGCATCGCTCGACAAAAAACTTGAGGCGAATTCGAAGCCTCCTCCCATCATGTAGAGGAGCGCCGCAAGCAGCAGTTCGCGGCGCCGACCCATCGAGCCCTCTACCTGCAGCACCACCACAGTCCCCAGTAAAGCACCTCCTACCGCAGAGGCCGTGAAAACCCCTCGCAGGACAGAGGAGCTTTCGATCCGCTCGCCCCACGCGACGCCTGCTTTGTCTGACTGAAGCTGTGTCAAGACATAGGCTGTCGCACCTGACAGCACGGGGTATCGAATTCCGAATCAAATCATTGTTCATGATGACTCTCTCATCCTTTCTTTGCTCTCTTACCTATGTCCCAGCCGAAGAGTAATCCACCTAATGCACAAAAGATGAAGATGGCGATGACCGCACAAGTGCGCATGCCGGATGTCGATCCTTCCATCGAAAGAAGGACGAAAAATTAGCTATGCCTGGACACCCGTCTTGTAAAGACCTTTGTCTGGCAGTTCAGTGGCTTTCACGGGCGCAGTTGCTGTCGTCGTGGGATATTTTCAGAATGAATCAACATGCTGCGTACGCAACATAGTAAAAAGGCCCGATCGATCTTTAACTGAAAAGTAAAGTGCCACAAACCAAACCTCCTCATTCCACAAGCCACAAGCTGGCCGAAGTGTAAACGGCCTTGCCACGACATAGAGTGTCTGAATCAGCCCCATATCTTGAGCGTGGTCGCACCACGTGTCACCCGAAAAGGTCGTGCGCGGCAGTAGAAGCTCCGGCCTCGGCGATGCTATCGCCCAGTCCCCCTGCGCTGCTTGCCCTGCCTCTGAAAAAGAAGGGAGGCAGTAGGAATGCCGGCAGGGGGAAAGCCAAGCAAGCGCGATGACCATGATTTGTTATGAAGTGTACTGATTCAGAAGCGATATAACACGCTGCCTCATCGCATCGCGTTTGCTCGCATAAACTTTGATAGGAAAGGGCGATTGGGACCACCACCACTATGACTTGACGTTGTTGCAGAACGTTAAAAAATAAACGCGAGACGCACCTACGGAAATGACGTCCCCTAATGCTGCAGCAATACATTTGAGGGAAGAAGGCCTTGCAAAATCTGGGCGGCGGGACTACAGGGGTGCCATCGCTGCCTACGATGAGGCTATCCAACTTTATAGAGACTTACCACGCCTTAACGCATCCTGTCGCGAGGACCTGGTGCTGTGCTGGATGAAGCGTGCCGAGGCATATTTCCGTCTCAAGGAATATGAAGCATGCATAGAGGACTGCACCCGCGTCCTGGCCGTCCATCCAGGCCTCGTGGAAGCTCGTCTGCGACAGGAATACGCCCGGCAAAGCTTGGAATTGCAGAAGGGACGCTCGGAGGAGGCGGTGCATTCCCACAGGAACGGCCTGAACGGGCGTA